ACAGCGAAGGAACGTTGAAAAATGGGCGCCAGTGGATACGAGCGGAGACTGGTGCGGAAACAAGGCGCGGGGGGATTCGAAAACCTCCTCTGACCTCTGGGGGGCCTGGGAATGGCCCCGATGACCACCGAGCGGCAGGGTCGCGCGGGAGGGTCGAGCGGCCGGGTCGTTGAAGCGTAAATTCCGCTTGAACCGCCAGGCAATATGTAGCGGGAGCGCGATTCCTGAGCGTCGAGAAGCACCATCTTAATACATTGTGAAGACGGGAGCCGCGATTCGGTGGTAAATTGCGAGGACGTCCCAAGCGAGAGCGCGATTCCTCAAAAAATTGCAAGGAAGTATCAAGCGGGAGCCGCGATCTGGTGGTAAATTGCAAAGAAGTCCCAAGCGAGAGCGCGATTATTCAATACACTGTCAGGGAGTATCAGGCGGGAGCCGTTGTTGTTGTAAACCGGGGGCCAACAACACAGTTTGACCCTCAAGATTTTCCCTGCTATAAAACAAGGTGCGAGCCCCGGGAAGGGCACTTCAATTGAAAAAACAATTTGCGCCGGACGGGGGGATCGTCCAGATCATGGACACTTCAATTAACCTTCATATATGGACACTCCACAGCAACAACAACACCAACATCAGCACCACAAACAACAACAGCAACAGCAACAACAACAACAACAACACCACCAACAACAACAACGACAAAAGTTCCCGCCTGATACTTCCTCACAATGTATTTCCAAACCGCGCTCTCGCGCGGGATTTCCTCATCATTAAATACGAATCGCCCTCCCGCGTGGGACTTCTCTGCAGTTTCTTCAGACGATGCGCCCTCGGCGCTCAGAAATCCCGCTCTCGCGTTGGCTTTTCACACGATGTACTTGGGAATCGTGCTATCGCTCAATACTTCCTCGCGATTGATGCAGGACCCACGCTTCAGCAACCCGCCTGCTCGACCTGGTCGTCTGGGGCAACCTTCCCGACCTGCCCGCTATGGGTCTGCCTACCCAATCTGCCCGTCTGGTTCTACCAGTTGTTTCTTGCTCCTTGCCCGCCTCCTGCTAATTTTTCTCGTGCTCCATTGTTCCCCCTCCCCCTTCCACCCGTCTTCCCTTCCCTTGTTTTCGAGACTGCACTAGCTGCACGTGGCAGGTAAGGAAGATATGCCCCCAAGGGGGCACGATCGAAGACGACGAGAGCGGGTACCGAGGGTCTGGGAGATACGTATTGATTTGCACGTGAGCAGATAGGAACGAACAATATGAAGCTGATTGTTGTTGGTGGTGTTGGTGTTGGTGTTGTTATTGTCGTTGAACTCCCACTTCTGAAAAATAACGGCTGTTGATCCCCCCCGTCCGGTGCACATTGTTTTTTTCACTTGAAGTGCCCTTCCCGGGGATCGCACCCTGTTTTTTTTATAAAAAAAATCTTAAACGCCAAACTGTGTTGGTGGCCCCCGGTTTACAACAACAACAACGGCTCCCGCCTGATACTTCCTGCCAATTTATTGAAGAATCGCGCTCTCGCTTGGGATGTCCTTGCAATTTACCACCGGACCGCGGCTCCTGCTTGATACTTCCTCACAATCTATTGAGGAATCGCGCTCTCGCTTGGGACTTCCTTGCTAGTTACCACCGAATCGCGGCTCCCGCCTGATACTTCATTCACAATGTATTCAGATGCCGCTCCTCGACACTCAGGAATCGCGCTCCCGCTACATACTGCCTGGCGGTTCAAGCAGAATTTGCGCTTCAACGACCCGTTGGGGTAATTACGATCGAAGACGAAGAGGGCGGGTATCCAGGGTTTGGGATATGCATATTGAATGACACGCGAGCAGATAAGAGCGAACAATCTTAAAATGATTGTTGTTGTCGTTGATTTTGTTGATGTTACGTCTGGGTGTTCGTTCGAAAATGTTATGATGCCTGGTACCCGTCTCATCCTTCCTCCTCATCGTTCCTCTTCGCGTTCCGTTCCCCCCACCTCCACGTCACTGCTGCTGCTGCCAGTCCTGATCCTGTTCCTTTGGCTCCTTCTCCCTCTGCTGCCCCGTAGCCCCCATCGCCTATCTGGCCGCCCGCCTCGCCACCGCGCAAAAGGGCGTGCGGCGAGGTCCCGCAGGGCACCGCAAGAGCCGCTGGAGTACAACTTCGCCGCCGGGTCGTGCCTGGAGAGAGCTGGCTCGGAATGACGCGGAGGAGGACAGCGGGAGGCACGGACGACTGAATACGAAGGGCAGACGTAGCAGGGGGGGGAGGCGACGAGGTCAAGGAGGATAAATGGACATACTCACATGTATGTATGAATATCTATGTGTATCAATATGTGTGTATACAAACATACGTAGCACCCCGCAGTTGCGGATAAGAGTGCGGGGGCGGAGGGGACGTCGGGAGTCTGCGAGGCTCTGGAGAAACCCGTCGCAGGCGCCGACTTGTTTGCTAAAGCGATGTGGGTGGGTCGCGGGCCGGGTCGCGGGCCGGTTGCAAGGGGGACGACGACAGCAAACAACACACAACACACAACAAGCATCATACATACCAGCAACAACAGCACCAACAGCAACAACACCACCACCATCATCAACAGCAACTGCAACAACACCAACAACATCAGCAACCACAACTACAACAACAAAAACAACAACAGCATCAACAACACCAGTTGCAGCAGCCGCAGCAGCAGCAACAACAACAGCCACAAAAACACACCACAACCACAATAACAACACCACCACCACCAACAACAACGGCAACCATCACAACAGCAACAACAACAACAACAACAACACCAACAACAACACAACAACAACAACAACAACAACAACGACAACAACAACAACAACAACAACAACAACAACAATCATTTTACCCGAGCGCGTGGTGTTCTCCCCAGTGCCAGGGTTTTCATACGACACCAGGCAATACCCCCACTTCGTGGGGGGGCATTACAAGCTCTACCAAATATCCAAACGACTCTTCGCGACCACCCAAACCCAGCTTCCCGCCCTATGACGTTGGGACACTTCACTTCGTGGCGTGCGGACGACCGTGGCTACTACACTGGCGTGGGGTACACACCCACAGAACTTGGTCACTTATTCGGGGCGCGCATGTGCCCAGCATGGTGCAATTGTGCCATACAATACATAATACAGAGAGACAGAGAGAGAGACAGAGAGCACGTTTCCGCTTTTCTTAAGAACCCAATGGTTCTTAGATGAGATAGAGCGAGAGATAGAGCGAGAGAGACAGAGCGAGAGATACATGATGCGCGGTGCTAAAATTCTTAAGAACCCAATGGTTTTTGGAGATTTCGGCGTGCGCGCGCAAAAAACGAATGTGTCCCGCATGGTATTATTTGACAGGGATGATGGCCCTGGCAGGTGCGCAACCGTTGTCGCAGAAGTTCGAAAAAGTTGCTCGCAAAAGCCCGTTTGACAGAAATGTTTAAAAAGTGTTGGGTTTCCTACGAATCCGCAAGAGCGCGCGGGATGAGATTTTGACATTTTTTTGTTGAAAAACCATTGGTTTTTTTGATGTTTTTATGTTAAAATCGCTCCGAACACTAAGCTTTTGGAAGGATTTCGTCTTGCGCGCGCGAATGTCCACTTTACCTTATTTTTTGCAAGGGATTCTTGAAATTTGATTATATTAGAACAAGAAATGTCATTTTATAGTGTTTTTTGCAAGGGAAAACGGATTACAACAAAACAACCGGATCTGGACCCCATCCACTTTTCTGAAGCTTTCGCGAAAAAATGATGAAAATGTAGCTGCGGCCTAGGCGCGGCGGGGGGGCCGTGCACCAGGGGTCCCAACAATAATTATTCTTTAGAATTAATAATGTTCAACAACAACAACAACAACAACAACAACAACAACAACAACAACAACAACAACAACAACAACAGCAACAGCAACACCAACAACGCGCATCGCAGAACCTCGCTTAAGCCACGCGCCCAGGGTCAGTGAGTGACCGTTCAACCCGTGCACTCTGGTAGATGCATACATCTATGTGTATGTATGTATATATTAATCCAGGAAGAGATAGGGAGCGATATAGAGAGAGAGGGAGAGAGAGAAGGGGAGAACGAGAAGACAACGAAAGAGAGAGAGAGAGAGAGAGAAAGAGAAAGCGCGCGGAGCAGACGGACGGGCAGAGAGGTCAAGGCGTCAACCGGTCGGCGTGCCGAGGGGCGCGGCTGGCAGAGCGCTGCCGACGAGCACCGGCCCGCAGGGGGGGGGCAGATCAACAGGGGCGGGCGGTCGCCGAGCCGCCGGGCCACATCGGGATCGCTCTCGCCCGCGGTGGCGCGAAGGAGCTAGGGGCCCACTCGAGGCGCCCTTCCTCCTCCTCCTCCTCCTCCTCCTCCTCCTCCTCCTCCTCCTCCTCTCCATCCCCCTCCTTCTCTCCCTCCTCCTCCCCCCCTCCTCCTCCTCCTCCTCCTCCTCCTCCTCCTCCTCCTCCTCCTCCTCCTCCTCCTCCTCCTCCTCCTCCTCCTCCTCCTCCTCCTCCTCCTCCTCCTCCTCCTCCTCCTCCTCCTCCTCCTCCTCCTCCTCCTCCTCCTCCTCCTCCTCCTCCTCCTCCCCCCCCCCCCCTCCCCTCCCCCTCCCCCTCCTCCTCCCCCTCCTCCTCCCCCTCCCCCTCCCCCACCTCCTCCTCCCCCTCCTCCTCTCCCTCCTCCTCCCCCTCCTCCTCCTCCTCCTCCTCCTCCTCCTCCTCCTCCTCCTCCTCCTCCTCCTCCTCCTCCTCCTCCTTCACTCGAGACTGCAACAGCAGAGGCGCCCATCCTCGACGCAGGAGCAGGACATGAAGGCGGCGAGCGGCCGATTCCCCCCACCGGGGCCCAGCGCAAACTCCTCTCCCGAGAGGCCCGGCACGACGCGAACCTTAGCGCCCCCGCGCGCGCGCTGCGGCCCTGCGACAGGGCTTCACATCTTCAAGCGCGGGCGCAGAAACAGCAGGAAGACGAGGACGAGAACTTGTTTTTTGTTTTCTACTTTTCATGTTTTTCGCCCAGGGCGCTCGCGACCCTCCTCGCCAAGAGAACGGCGCTGTCCTCCCGCGAGGCGCCGCGCCGCCACTCCCAGCACCCCACGCGGACCGGGCGGTACCCCATGCGGGCGAGGACGTCGTGCTTGACGCGCCTCGTGACGGGCCAGCTCACGAGCTCCAGGTCCACGACGACAGGGGGGCAAAAAGTGGCACAGACATCAAAACTCTCGGAGGTCCGCGCGCATTCCTCTCGGATCGGCGCTGGAGCCCTCCCTGCCTGGCGCGCGGAGGCGCCGCCGGGGTGGCTCCGGCGCCGATCCGAGAACTCGGCGCGGACCTCCGAGTTTTCATAAGAAGAGGAAGAGGAGGAGGAGGAGGAGGAGGAGGAGGAGGAGGAGGAGGAAAGGGAGGAGGAGGAGGAGGAGGAGCAGGAGCAGGAGGAGGAGGAAAAGGGAGGAGGATGCTCACGCCCCCGTTTTGGTTCCCCTGGACGAGGCCGGTCGCCTCGTCGAGGAAGTCCACCACCGCTGGGCCCGCCCTCGCGCAGCGCTGCGGCCGGAGCGGGCCGCCGAGCAGGGGCGCGAGGACGCCGGGGGCCTCGTGCAGCCGCGCGAGGCAAGCGGCCACCTCGTCGTGGGCGCGGGTGCCGCCGAGCCGCCGCGCCTCCTGTCGGGGGCGGCCAGGAGAGGGGCGTCCAAGAGGGGCCTCCTCCTCCTCCTCCTCCTCCTCCTCCTCCTCCTCCATATCACTGCCTCCTCCTCCTCCTCCTCCTCCTCCTCCTCCTCCTCCTCTTTCTCCTCCCCCTCCTGGTCGTCGTCGATGTCTTTCAGGGTCGGCGGCACCGGCCGTCAGGCCTTCACAATCATGGCCCGAGGCATGTGCGCTGACCAGGGGGAGGGGGCCAGGGACCGCACTGAAAGAGAAGAAGAGGGGCCACGGAACCAGGGGAGGCATCATGGCCCACGCCATGATATCCATTCTCCCCCGCCCTGGTCGTCACCCCCCTCTTGGCCGCCCCCGAGCCTGGACAGCGGCCGCCTCGCAGGCATCCCGCCACGCCGCCGGGACGCACGCCGCAACGCCGCCGCACTGCGCGCCCGCGGCGGCACTGATCTTAGGTCGGGCGTGTCCTCCTACGGATTGTTGGGCGAAAATCAAAAGATAGCCAGCACATACTCCAAACTATAATCAAGAATACTAAAACTGTTGTCAAGCGCTCAAAGATAGCCAACACATGCTCCAACATAGCCCAGCATCGCCGAAGAATCGGCCCCGGGCCATGTTTTGCCTCACCGTGAGACCTTCCTCCTGCAGAGAGGGACCTGCCCGACTTAACACTGATCGCGTCGTGGAGCTTCAGCAGCGGCAGCGGCTCCCGAGGTGGCTCGCTGGCGCCGCACACGCGCGCGAAGATGGCGCGGAGGACCTCCTGGTAGCGGCCGCCCAGCCCGAGCGCGCAGATGGCCCACGCGGCGTCCGCCTCTGCAGCGAGGGACCGGGGGCCGTCGTCCTTTCACAGGCGAGGGACGGTAGCAACAAAAAAAAACCTGTCCGCTGTTGAGGGGCGCCTGTCCCAGGGCGGCTGGGAAGTTTATACCCTTATAACTACGGTGGCACCTCAAGGCGTAAACTTTCCCGCCGCCCATGGGGCAACGCCCCCGGCGACGGAAACTTGAGCAGGGACCGACCGTCCCGGCATTCCTATAGTCCTACCACGAGATGTTCTTAGAACCCAAGAATGTGCTAAGAACAAACACAAAGTTCTTAGAGCATCAGCCCGATGTGCTAAAACACGACAGACTCCGCCAGGAATGCTCTCAGAACATTTCGTGGAAACCACAGCAGGTTCTTAGAACATCGCTTGGTAGGGTTATATTGAGCAGGGACCGACCCTCCCGGCATTCCTACAGTCCTACCACGAAATGTTCTTAGAACCCAAACATGTTCTAAGAACAACAACAACGTTCTAAGAACATAAACCCGATGTGCTAAAACAAGACAGACTCCGCCAGAAATGCTCGAAGAACCTTTCGTGGAAACCGCAGCAAGTTCTTAGAATATGGTTTGGTAGGGCTATATTGAGCAGGGACCGACGCTCCCGGCATTCCTACAGCCCTACCACGAGATGTGCTTAGAACCCAAACATGTTCTAATAACAAAAACAAAGTTCTAAGAACATAAACCCGATGGGCTAAAACAAGACAGACTCCGCCAGAAATGTTCTGAGAACATATCTTGGCGGCGCGCAGAGGGGGGGAGGGGGAGGGGGGAAGGCTTCTTCGAAGCACCCCTGCTTCTTAGAAGGTGCGGGCCTTCTCTGTAGATGTAAGGCCGGCGCCTTCTAAGAAGCAGCCTCCTTCTAAGAAGCCTTCCCCCCTCCCCCTACCCCCTTCTCCTCGGCGCCAAATTTCGTGGAAACCACCGCAGATTCTTAGAACACTGCTTGGTAGGGCTAGAGGCGAGCCGGGACGCTTCGCCGCTGCTTGAGAAGCGTTCGTTCTGCTTTTTCTGCGCCCGCCGAGTCTGAAGGGGCCCTGGGACACACAAACAAGCACACACAAATAACACAGATTCCCCATATTTACCTATATTTTCTCGGTTTCTGTCTTCCCCCCCCCCCCTTCCCATATTTTCCCATATGTTCTGGGTTTCTGTCTTCCCCCCCCCACCTCCCATATGTTCCCTTATTTTCTGGGGGATCGGCGATTCATGGTGTCTGTGTTTTTGTTGTTGCCTCCGGAGAGTCCTGCGCGTACTGGGCCACGAGCACGCGGGCCGCGCGCGGGCGGCTGGGCAGGTCCGCCATCGCCAGCGCGAAGAGCACCTGCGAGACCCGCGCGCCCGACAGGCGCCCGAGGCCCGGCGAGAGGGCGCCCAGGGCCTCATCGTAAGTCGGGCGTGTCCCCCTACAGGGGGAGCTCGGACGAACAATACAAAAACACCCCAAGAATGTCCCCAAAAAGTCAAAAAAATACTCAAAAAACAGTCCCCAGACTATTGTTGGACTAATTATGGTTTGATGATTGTTGATTTTTCTATTATTCTTTGATTATTTATGATTTTTTCTGGTTTTTCGTCGAAAATCCTCCTGTAGGGGGGACAGGCCCGACTTAGGCCTCATCGGCGAAGCCCTGCTCCAGGAGGCGCAGCCGGGCCAGCGCGCCGAGCACGGCGACGAGGTCCTCCCGCGAGAACTTGCCCAGGTGCCGGGACACGAGGCCCCGCAGGCGCAGCAGCGTGCGCCGGCGGGCGAGCCCCAGCTGCGCCGAGAGCACGAGGAGCCCGACGACGTCCCCGGAGCGCAGCTGGTCGAACACCGCGCACACCCTCTCGAGGACGACGTCGGTGAGCTCGGGGTCGCGGATGCCCCAGCACCGGAGCGCCTCCAGCAGCCTCACGCAGTCCGAGGGCGCGAACTCCTGCATCTGCCGCAGCGCCTCGCCGCGCACGAACGCCGGCACCGCCCCCGGGCCCGGCGCCCCCGGCATCGCCCCGGCGTCGCGCACGCCCCGGACCGCCACCGCGAGCGCCAGCCGCGTGAGGTGCCCGGGCGTGAAGGCGTTCTCGCGCGCGACGGCGGCCTCCGCCGCGCGCGCCGCCAGCGCCACCAGCTGCGGCGTCGCCGCGCGGAAGCGCGCCGCGGCGTCGGCGGCGAGCGCCAGCTCGCGCGGCCCGCACTCCGCGAGCCGCGCCCCCAGCACCTCCAGCAGCGCGTGGAAGCGGCCGTCGGCCGTGATGCTCGCGCGGCTCCAGCGCGCACCGCGCCCGCCCACGCAGGGCTGCAACTCGCCGTGGCCGCCCTCGGACGGCGCCGCGCCGGCCCTCGCGGCGGCGCCCTCCGCGAGCGCCACCCGGCCGCCGAGCGTGCGCAGGGCGGCCGCGAGCACCAGCGGGTCGGGCTCCCCGCCGCCCCGCAGGGCGATGTGGAACACCTGCCCGGGAGAGGACGCCTCCTGCAGCAGGGCTGGCCCTAAACGTTGTGTGTTCGTGTTGTGTTCGTTCTGTTGTTCGTGTTGCTCCACATGTCGTCTGGCAGCTCCCTGCCAAAACGACAAACAAACACGGCCGAAGCCCAGCAAAGCAGCGCTTATACACGAAGAAGAAGAAGAGAAATAAAAACTTGTGGTGGCGCTCCGCGCGGATCCGCGCCTGGCCCCCCCAGGCGCGGATTCGCGCGGAGCGCCAAAAGTTCATGTTTGTGTGCTTTGTTCTTCCTCTACTCTCTCTTTCCCCTCGCTCCACCTCCTCCTCTTCCTCCTCGCACACCCTCCTCCTCCTCCTCCTCCTCCTCCTCCTCCTCCTCCTCCTCCTCCCTCCTCCTCCTCCTCCTCCTCCTCCTCCCCCTTCTCTTCCTTCTTCCCTTCCTCCTCCTCCTCTTCCTCCTCCTCCTCCTCCTTCTCTTCCTCTCCTCCTCCTCCTCCTCCTCCTCCTCCTCCTCCTCCTCCTCCTCCTCCCCTCCTCCCTCCTCCTCCTCCCTCCTCCTCCTCCTCCTCCTCCCTCCTCCTCCTCCTCCTCCTCCTCCTCCTCCTCCTACTCCTCCTCCTCCTCCTCCTCCTCCTCCTCCTCTCCTCCTCCTCCTCCTCCTCCTCCTCCTCCTCCTCCTCCTCCTCCTCCTCCTCCCTCCTCCTCCTCCTCCTCCTCCTCCTCCTCCTCCTCCTCCTCCTCCTCCTCCTCCTACGCTCTCCTCCTCCTCCTCCTCCTCCTCCTCCTCCTCCCTCCTCCTCCTCCTCCTCCTCTCCTCCTCCTCCTCCTCCTCCTCCTCCTCCTCCTCCTCCTCCTCCTCCTCCTCGTCTTCCTCTCCTCCTCCTCCTCCTCCTCATCCTCCTCCTCCTCCTCCTCCTCCTCCTCCTCCTCCTCCTCGCTCCCCCTCGTTCCCCCCCCTCGCCCGTCGCCGCAGATCCCCCCTGGCCTCACGAGGCCCCTCGGCGGCGAGGCCCCCGCATGGGCCCCGCTCCCGGCCCCGTCTCCTGCAGCCGGTCGAGCAGCGGGTGGCCGGCGACGCCGCCGCCGGGGGCCGTGGCGCTGCCGCGCGGCCCGGCGGCGGCCGCGCGGGCGCCGCGCCGGCTCCATGGATAGGGGGCCACATGCGAACCCTACAGTCGTGGCGTCGGCGTTGACCTCAGGAACCCTAAATAAGGAACGAGGCCAATTTTTTCCACAAGTTGAACTTCGATTTCGGATCGAAAACCTCAGGAAAATCTAAGGCAAGCTGCGAAGCAATCAAGGAACACGGAGCCCCTCCCCAACGAAAAGGGTTCCTTCTTCAGGGCCCCGCCTGTACCCCCCACGAGTTCGGAGGGGGAGGGTGGGGTTCGCTTCGTCCGGGAGCTCCCGAGCGAAGCGAACCCCACCCTTTCCCCCTCCGAACTCGTGGGGGGCAGGGGTAGGGTTCGCATGTGGCCCCCTCATGGAGCAGCGGCGCTGCTGCGGCGCCCCGCCCGAGCGATCATGCGAGCGACGGTCCAAGACGGGCCCAGGCATGGTCGCGTCGGTAAACAACAAAAAATCCGGACGGGAGGTCCTGGGGCCACTGTCGGCCTCCCGGGGGGCCCTCGCCGGGCCTCGCGAGCGCGGCAGAACACGGCCCAGGACGAAAGACCAGCCCCGGGGAACGGCTCGGGACTTCCCGGGGCTCCGCTCGGACAAGAATCAGGACGTCGCCTGTCTGGGGGCCTCGCGCGAGACGGCACAGCGACCTCACGCCGCGGCGTGTACGCGGGCCGCCGGCGCGGCACGCCTCGTGGGGAACGAGGGCGCTCACGCGCGGCCTTGCGCGGGCAGCTCGCGCGCCAGTGTCGGCGCAGACGACCCTGTCTTTTTGCGTCGCTCATGTGGGCCCTGAGCCAAAACGGCTACGGCAGCCGCAGAGATCCGTCGTCGTGACTTCTTCAAGACTAGGGAGCCCACAAAGGACGTACGCGCCCAGCTATGTACATGAACACGGCCTCTCGATCCGCGAGACCAGCCGCGTTATGCGAACATTTGCGCTATGCGTACTCTCGAAACCAGCGTGGATTCATGTACGTGTACGTCCTTCTGCCGCTCCTGAAAGACGGGGCCCCCGGAAGGGTCGACCCCCTCCCCAGGAGACCGGCTCTTCGTCCCGCGGGTCGTTCTCTCACGGCCCCGGGGCCCGGGGCGGGCCCCATGGAGGCCGAAAAAATTGCGAGAAGCGCCCGCCTCGATTTGTGTGTTGTCAATCTGTGTCGTACCTCTGGGGACGAGGCTCGGGTCGGGCGAAAAGGGGGGATGGCAAACTTGGGGGGGAGTTGAGAGTCAGCTCTCGTAGCTGACTTTCCCGGCGCCTCCCGGCGCCGGGAGGCGGCCACGTCTCGAGGAATGGGCCCGGCGGCGGGGCCGAGACCAGCTGCTTGCAGCAAATTTCGTGGGGCCCCCCCTCTCCCAATCCCCCCCTTTCGTCCGGCCCGATCCTCCTCCTCCTCCTCCTCCTCCTCCTCCTTCTCCTCCTCCTCCTCCTCCTCGTTCCCCTCCTCCTCTTTCCCCCCCTTTCCCAATCCCCCCCCTTCCGTCGGGCCCGAGAGGGGGCGAGGCCGCGGGCAGCCGAGGCGGAGGAGGGCCGAGGACGGGCACGCCGCCGGGCAGGAGTTAACAGTCGGCGCGGGGGCGCAGGCGGCGGCCTCCTCCCCGGGCGCACTGCTCCTGCGCATGGCGTCAACCCCCAGAGGTCCCCAGGCTCAAGTCGGGCCTGTCCCCCTACGGGGATTTTCGACGAAAAATAAAAGATGCCCCAAACATGCGCAAAACAAAAAAATATCCAAAAATAGTATGGGGACTATTTGTAGGGGTATTTGTTGACCTTTTGGGGGCATTTTTGGTTTTTGTTTTTCATTTTTCGTTGGAAATCCCTCTGTAGGGGGACACGCCCGACACAACCCCAAGCATGACCGCGTCGGCTACCCGCAAGAGTTGGGGGAACGAAGAATGACATAAACATAACAACTCGGAGGTCCACGCTGGAGCCCCCTGGCGGCGCCTCCGGCGCCGCCCCTGGCGCGCTCCGCGCGCCAGGGAGGGGGATCCAGCGCGGATGCAAGAAATCCGCGCGGACCTCCGAGTTTTTATGCTCATGTCATTTTTCGTTACCCTGAGGAGTGACCCTGGGTAAAACTGACCTTCGGTGCGCGGCTTTTGGGTGGACCGCGGGGTGACCAAACACGGGCGCGCAAGCCGGTACTATCGCAGAACGTTCGGCGATCGGGGGACCCCAATGCCGTGCCCGCACCAAAGGTCACTCTGGCCCCAGACCCCCGACGTCATGATTTTTTCATGACGTCGACCCCCAGAGGTCTGGACCCATTCCCCAGGACCGGTTTTTCATCCTGAGTCGTTTTTTGACGGTCCCGAGGGCCGGTAAGTGCCCCCAGAGGCCAAAAATCATGAAGAACCTCCCGTCATGATTTTTTCATGACTCGAGGGGGTCTGGGGCGAAAGGTCACTCTTACATCTAGTCGATCGCGTCGTAAAAAATGACGGACGGCTACATTCTCGCCATTTTCGGCCTCTGGAGGCCCTCGCCGGGCCCGGGGCCGTCAAAAACGACTCGGGACTTCCGGGAACGCCGCCCTGAGAAGATCGGGACGTCGCATGTCTGGGAATGCACCTCGAGACAATATCAGTGCATTCCGCTCGATATCGATGCGCGTGGAGAATGGCAGACGTTGGAGGTTCCGGTCTGGGATGGATTTGGACGCCCGAAAGGGGTACGGAAAAAATGGGTACGATGCCCAACAACAAGTGTTGTCCCAAACCAACAGCGGCCGCTGTTGGGCACACGGCCTTCTGTCTCGAATGGACACAGGCCGCGGCGGCGTGGACAGCGAGTCCTGCTCAGAATGAACAAGAACTGCTGTTGGGCATCGTACCCATCCTTGCCCCCAGACCCCCTGACGTCGTGATTTTTTTCATGACGTCGACCCCCCGAGGTCTGGACCCATTCCCAGGGACCGGCTTTTCATCCCGAGTCGCTCTTCGACGGTCCCGAGGGCCGGGAAGGGCCCCCCGAGGCCAAAAATCACGCAGAACCCCCCGTCGTGATTTTTTGGGCATCGTACCCATTCTTTCCGTACCCATCGCGGGCGTCCAGAATTGAGGGGCCAAGACCGCACAGGATCGCATTGCCGAGCCGGAGCGGCAGTCGAGAGGGCCGATCGGAGGTGGGCGGAGGCTCGGCGGCCCCGGGCCGGGGGGAGGAGCCGCAGCGGCCGGGAGAGCTCGGCGGGCCCAAGGGGCCCCCGGCGAGAGGCATCGGCAGCCACGTCGGAGGAGCCAGAGTCGAAATCGAGTGGGAAGTCGGAGGTGGAGGAGGTGGAGGAGGAGGAGGTGGCCAGAGGAGAGGGGGTGGAGGAGGAGGAGGACGAGGATGACGAGCAGGAGGGGGGAAGGAGGAGGAGGAGGAGAGGAGGAGGAGGAGGAGGAGGAGGCAGCCACGTCGGAGGAGCCAGAGTCGCCTCGAGTCGGACCTCGGAGG